GCAGCAGCATGGCAGCAGCCGCAGCGGCAGCAGCAGCAGCAGCAGCAGCAGCAGCAGCAGCAGTAGCAGTACCAACAACAGCAGCAGCAGCAGTACCACCACCACCACCACCAGCAGCAGCAGCATCATCAGCAACAGCAGTAGCAGCCGCAGCAGCAGCAGCAGCAGCACCACCGCCACGACCAGCAGCGAGAGCTAGCGTTGCCGCGGCGACGTACGTTTGGGCCGGCGGACGCTGAGCGAGACTCGTCCGGCGATGGCGGCGTTTCCCATCAGCTGGACAACGGTGTGGTGCGAGGCGCTGACCACCGAGTGACCGTCCACAAGCAGGATCTCGTCGCCCGTCTTCAGCCGGTCGTCGACGTCGGCGGCGCCCCCTGGCACGACGTGTCCGATTGCCACCTGGTGGAGGAAACGTCGTAAAGAATTTAAAACGTAAAACATAAATAATAATACCGATAATAAAATGTCAAATAAAAAAGCAATACTAGCTAGTGATTATAAAGATTTGTGGAATGCACGTGTAGATCTAGACGTGTCGACCTTAGCAAACGCTTGAAGGTCACAAACTTTACCTATTTGCATCTCTCATTGCGTCGTAAGGAATTTAACATAAAACATCACATCAAAAAAACAAGACTAACTAGTGATGATAAAGATTTCAATGAGGAAGATAATAAAGAGGGAACGCGTATGTACGAACGCGTCGACCTTGGCCAAGCTTGAAGGACAGCAAATTTATTTACAGCCTCAAGCATGTTATGGCCCATATAGCTTCTACCTTGGCTGTTTCAAGGTCGTGGTATTTATTTATTCACGTATTTCTATACCATACTCCTCTTCCCCCTTCCTGCCCCTCCTCCCTGCCTCATCTTCCTCACCTCTCCCCCTTCCCCTTCTCTTCTTCTTCCCTCCCACCCTTCCCCACTTCCTTCCCTCCCTCATCTCTCGCTTCCACTCCGTTGCTCCTTCCCCTCCTCTTTTCCCTCCCTCCCTCATGGCCTTCCCTCCCTCCTTCCCTCCCCGCCTTCCCTCCCTCTCACTCACCTGTGATCCCTCCTCCGTTCCACCAATGATTCGGAAGCCGAAGCCAGTCTCCTGTCTCTGTAAGAACACCGTCCACTCCTCGTACTCCTGCCCTCCTCCTCCGCCTCCTCCTCCTCCTCCTCCTCCTCCTCCTCCTCCTCCTCCTCCTCTGCTNCGCGTGCGGCGGCCCGCGGAAGTGCGTAGAGGGCGCCGGCGGAGGGAAGCGGTCGTCGACCGAACGACTGCGCTCCTCCGCGAAGCCTCGCGCCGCCGCCGCCGCGGCTGCAACGCCGCCAGGGGGCAGGTCAGTCGACTGGCTGCGCACGTGCATCGGCGGTCGCTTTTCGGGTCCAGTCGGCGTAGTCGTCGTGGTTGCCGCGGCGACGGGCGTCTTGCTGCGTGCGTCCGGGGCGTCGTCGGGTGGGCGGTCCCCGGGGGAGGGGGTCTTGTTTCTGGCGTCCGACGTTGGCGTCTTGCTGCGGCGGCCGGACGGGGGTCGTCCGTCATCTACCGCGAGCAGTAAAACAAGTGAGCAAGCCGTAAAACACACGAGCAGTCGCAAAACACACGAGCAGTCGCGAAACACACGAGCAGTCGCAAAACACATGAGCAGTCGCGAAACACACGAGCAGACGTAAAACACGATGCAATTTCAGAGAGAAGCACACGCAATTAGCGCGAACTACTAATTCGACAAAATTAAACATAGACATGCATCTTCTAAACGGTAAAAATTAAAAATGATAGTTTGCGCTATGTAACAAGCACGCAAACGGACAGGGAGAATATGATTAAATGACAACAGACCTCCTTCTAATGAAGTGTCATGAATGTTCTACATCACTCTAGATTTTCGCGCCGCAAACCCACGCACGCCGGAACAACTCCACAATTTCACTTTGCTTCATTGACTACGTCACAAATTTTCTATGGTAAAATTTGTAAAATTTTTGTTGCCATTTTTTTACATTAAAAGTAAGTACTAACGGGGCTAAACGTATCGTCAAATTTTTACCTGATAAGATTGTTTCTCAACTAGTTAAAAATCCAAAAAACCTGGACGATTTTATATTATGTTCCTGACATTAATTGCTTGCTATGGGCTATGTATGAGGCACGAGTTTATGTTCACATCAAACAATGGTAGTAAAATAGGAAGTATAATGCAGCAATTTAACCATAAAAAGTGAACAGAATTACTTATATTTTATGAAAAAGTGGAAATGTTTTTTTTATTTTTACTATTTACGGTGACGTAATCACTCACTGAATCTCAGCGATTTTCGCGGACATTCGTGAAATAACGCATAATTTCGCGGAATCCCTCAGCGCGCGCGCGTTTCCGTGGCAACCGCATCGCGGTGATATCTCACCTTCTATGCTCCTCTGCGTGGAGCTGATGTAGCCGGAGGAACCCGTGTGATTCGGAGAAGACTTCTTGTCTGACTTGGAGAAGAACTGCAAGGAGAAGGAAGGTCACACAAAGGTCACACGAAGGTCACACGAAGGTCACGCGAAGGTCACACGATGGGCACACGAAGGTCACACGAAGGTCACACGATGGTCACACGAAGGTCACACGAAGGTCACACGAAGGTCACACGAAGACTTCACCTCGCTACAGACAGCTGCATGTTGGTTGCTTTACATACTGCTTTCCTACTGCATACATGTTGGTTTTTGCACGTATAATTCACGATTTTAATCGTTAATACATACAAGTAATTAAAACATATATAATATATATATATATAATATATACAAAATAATTTCCTGGTTTCTGAGGCAAACATTTTCATGGGGTTTGTGGACTGATAAAATCAGGAGTGAATAATAATAGACCTAATAGAAATAATCTATCTATCTATATACACTATCTATCTAGATATAATCTATCTATCTAGATATAATCTATCTATCTAGATATAATCTATCTATCTAGATATAATCTATCTATCTAGATATAATCTATCTATCTAGATATAATCTATCTATCTAGATATAATCTATCTATCTAGATATAATCTATCTATCTAGATATAATCTATCTATCTATAGATATAATCTATCTATCTAGATATAATCTATTATTGCTGGAGATATTATGTCTCCCTGGGTACTGCCGGAACGTACCCTGGGTACGGTCCGGTATACCGGAACGTACCCTGGTAACTATCTACCTCGCCTACCGTACCTCGCCTACTCCACTAACTAGTCTAGGGAGTCGCCTACGCCTACTCCCTAACCCTAACCCTAACCATATCAGATAGCTACCAGGGTACGTTCCGGCAGTACCCAGGGAGACATAGCACTATCACTATCACTATCACTATCTATACTCTATCTATCTATCTATCTATCTATCTATCTATCTATCTTCTCTATCTATCTATCTATCACTATCTATCTATCACTATCAGCACCACTCATATCTTTTACCGGCAACACTCAGCAGTGCTATCTGCACACTCACGTTTCTTAGACCCGACTTCTTCTTCGGTTCCTGTGATTCGTCTCCTGTGAAACCTGCAAAGCAACATAAGGAAGATTATGGGGCAGCCCGGGAGTTGGTGGTCGCCATGGAAATGGTCGCCATGGAAACGGTCGTCATTCGAAATCCAGTAGATTGCAACGTTCTCACAAGTTTCAAATTAATTTCGCCATTAAACATTATACTCTGGTAAACTGATTGCCATTAGAAAATTGGCAAACTGCCGGTAACACAGTCGTGTGAATCTAAAATATGCAAAAATAGCATGATAGAGGCTGCTGTCTACAATTTCTACTATGTAGTCAAATACAACTACACTAATTGCAATACAAAAACAACAAAAATAATACACTCCCCTTCCATATATATATATATATATGCATGCACACACACCTCCCACACACCC